TGGTTATTACATTTACACGTTTCATAAAGTTTTAATTACAGTTTTGGTTGATGTACATTATTTAAATGACGTCTGATTTATTCCTTTACTGTTTCCTGAATAATCAGACCATCAACAATCTAATTTCTGAGGCGCAATGTGTTTTCCTCTGTGCGTAAAAATCCATCCACACGCGGCCCGGACCTTTCCACAGGAAGGGGCCACATGCAGGACGGAGTGTGTCTGATTTCACTTCGTAGTGATGCTGTGTGTTGGTAATTACATCAGGCTGAGGACCGTCCGTCACCCTCCTTCCTCCCCTCTCTCCCATCCTCCCTCCCTCCCTCCCTGCACGGAGCTGATTGGTCGCCGGGTGGCTGCCGGGACACACACCGCGTTGTCCCGGTGAAGCGGCCTCAGCGCGCTATAAAAGCCCGCGGTCACACGCTGCCGTGCCAAATGGGCTGTCACACGCGCTTTGGAGTAACCCGTGGATTTGACGTTTAGGTTTTCACACCGTCGCGCCTTTGGAAACTTTCTCGGTGAGTGTTTTATTCTGCAATTTCACTAATTACTGATGTTTTACCAAACTTTATTTGTGAACAAACCAGAGGCAGACGGCGCGTAAAGGCTGAACTGTAGGATTTGAAGAGGCGTTAACATTTGACAGCTCGTAAAGCCAAATGTGTCAGTACATATACTTTTAATTATTAAGTCAACGGATTAAATTGCAATAAACCTTTAATTTCGTATCACCGGTCGTTGCAGTAACTGTTGGCCTGACCTGTGGATGTTCTTCTTCACTAAACCAACTGTCTCCTCCTCAGAGCTCCGTGCTGGACCAGAACCATGGACTCTGATACGAGCCGCGTGTCGAGCAGACCTTCCTCTCCCGAAGTGGACGACATCTTCATGGCCACCCTGAAGAAGTCAGTGCACGGATTCTCCGGAGCCGTGTCCTCCACGCAAAACGACACTCCGTCCGAAATCGCCGCCATGCACGGCCTGCACGGCCTCTCCGCCTCCGACGAGGAGACCCTCGCTCTGCGGTTCGCCTCCAAGAAAGACCGTAAACTCCTGTCCGAGAACGAGCTGCAGTCGATCCGCCTCAAGATCAACAGCCGCGAGAGGAAAAGGATGCACGACCTCAACGTGGCCATGGACGGACTGCGGGAGGTCATGCCCTACGCGCACGGGCCATCGGTGCGTAAACTCTCCAAAATCGCCACCCTGCTGCTGGCGAGAAACTACATCCTGATGCTGAGCAACTCTCTGGAGGAGATGAAGCGGCTGGTCAGTGAGATCTACGGCAGCAGCGCACACCACGGCGGCTTCCACCCGTCAGCCTGCGGGACTATGACACACGCTGGGCCCGTGCCGGGACACCCGGCCGCCCCCCACCCCGCACACCCGGCGGTGCACCACCCGCTGCTCCCGCCGGCCGTCTCCTCCGCGTCTCTCTCTGCGCCCGGTATCTCCGCCGTCACCTCGGTCAGACCCCACCACGGACTCCTCAAAGCTCCCGCTCCCGGCGCAGGGCCGCTGGGCAGCAGCTTCCAGCACTGGGGCGTTGGCGCCGGGATGCCCTGTCCGTGCAGCATGTGCCAAGTCCCGCCTCCGCATGTGTCCAGCATGAGCTCCGTCACCATGCCGAGGCTGACCAGCGACTCCAAGTGACTCCAAACCCGATAGAGACGAACTTGTTCAGGGTTGTCACAGACTCTCTCTCTCCTCTTATTACGTTTTTTAATTTATCTTCGTCGCTGAATCCGTCGCGTGGACGGAGCCAGTGAAGACCGATGCATTGATTTTCCTCACTGGGACTTTTGGGGGTTTTGCAAACTAACTTAGTGTTTGATGGTGATTAACCTCAGTTGTAAGCGCTGTGTCTTCACAGAGCTCAAGAAGCACAACGAAATTCATTTAATTCTGAAAAAGGTTTGAATGATCAAGGCCTCGACTCGTCCATGTTAACATCCAGCTCTCTGGTGATTTCAGGGCCTGCAGAGGAAAGAGCCCCAACTTGAATCCAACCACAAATATAGTGTAAATATGTAGAATAATCTGTTTAAATAGTGGGAGATATTATATATTATAGTCTTGTTAATGTTGCACCTGCTTTATTCTGTCCTCTGATTCTCTCCCTGTTTTCTGCTCAGTGGCTTGTCTTTCACTGTCCGGCCCACACAATGGCCACTTCTTTATTTTTTTAAATAAAAACAGAAAATGATATTTATTTACTTATTTTGAACGTGAATTTCAGATGAATCTCTGATGATGTTGGGGTTTGAAAATGTAAAATAAAGACGATTAATTGCAAAAGGAAAGAAACAAGTCTTTGGTGATGTCTTTGTTTTTTAAGTTTTTTTTTACATTTAGCACAATATGAAAGAGAACATTTTGGAATGAGAGTTAAAGCAGCACAGACATTATCATAGAGAGGAAATTAAAAAAAACACCCATTAACATATAT